AAGTGTTCAGCAATGTCTAAGAGCCAAGTAGCCTTGTTCCCTTCCCTAAGCCCTGTAGGAAAGTCTTTGTAAGTCTGTATGAATGAACCACATAGGAAGCAAGACTCTAAGAATGACGGCGGATGTTTTCAGACACGAAGGGAGGAAACACAGGGACACTTCTAAGCCAGTTCCTCCCCTAGGACCAGACTAATAGACATTGTCCATGAGAGACATGATTTGCCTGACCACACTTTAGCCGGAGAAGCTCAAAGGCGGAGCCACACAGTCTGATCTCTGTCCTCAGCAATGCTGGTTTTATTGATCTGGGGTAGGGGATAGGTTACCTGTCTTTTGAAAAATTACTTATTTGTTTTATTGAATCTTGTGTGTATGAATGTTTTACTTTCATGCATGTATATGCATCTTAAGTGTACATGGTGTCCAGGGAGGTAAGAAGAGGCCATTAGAATTCCTTAAAACTGGAGTTACAGGTGGTTACGAGCCACTGTGTAGGTGTTGGGAACTGAACCTCTGGAAGAGCAGCCAGTGCTCTCAATTACTGAGCCATTCTAGCCCCCCCCTCACCATGTCCTTTGTTTGTTTGTTTGTTTTTGGTTTTTGACACTGGCCTTTCTGAGTAAGTTCTAATGGGCAACACCGTTTGGAACCCTGTTTTGCCCTGTGAACTCTGACCTTATGAGGCTGGGACTCCACTACGCCTCTGAGGCTTCTCTCTGCCATCTAGGGATTCTCCACAGCAGGGATTCTCTGGGTCAGCATGGGGCAGGCTTGAACTACCCCTATGGTGTTCCTCAGCAGGCAGAGGGCCCGCATGCATTCTCAACAGGCTGGACACGTGGACAAGAAATGTTCTTTCTGATTCATTTTGTCATCACCCATGTTCAGAGGGCTGATTGGTGTCTAGCAGAGGAGACAATCATTTATGAGAAAACCACTTTGAAACTCTGAACTTGGTAACCTCCCTCTTCTGATTCCTGTTTTAGCTGTCTATGTAAGCACAGGCGCACACCACATAACTGTGGGCCACACACATACCTAACCAGATGGTGACGTCAGAGACATCCTGGTTTCTGTGAGCACCCCCTAAGATGCCTAAGATGTTCTCATTCCACCCAGATCAGCTGATAATGCAAGTCTCAGGATGTAGCCCCATCTTCATGGCATCACTGTGCTCTTCACCCCCAACCCCACTTTCCAGGAGGAAGGCGCAGGCGCAGGACCAGGGCATCTGTGGCTCTTGGCAAGGGAGGACTCTCACCCTGGCCTTCAGGCCGTCACTATCCTTCTCTGTCCTGACATAATAGCGAAGACAGATTCTCATTTTTTTCTAAGTTTGTGACAACACATGTAGTCTGCACCTTCCATTTCTGGTCTCCCAGACTCACTCTGGAATGAGTTAACTCTGAAGTGCTACTTAAATGCTGTCTAAGGAAGATGTGGGTGAGCTGCCAGGGACAGCTCATCCTGAAGCGAGGTTCTTTCTGCCTGTGCATTGGGAACTACAGAAGCTACATATTCCAAAGTGCGTTGATGTGACCACCCCTGGACAGTGCAGGGAGGACAGGAGCGACGGGATCTGAGCTTAGTGAGGCACACTGTAAGACTAGAGAGTCTCTCTGGTTAGATGCTCTGCCTTCAGGCATGCTAAGGTGACCCCTGATGTTCCTCCAGGTAGCCTGGAAGAACAATGTCCCCTCCTCTCTCATTTGTACCAAGGCAACCTGACAATCTCTTAATCAGTACTGCTTACTTTTCTGTTTGGAAGAACATGTCTACAGCTGCATAGCTCCACGGTCAGCCGAGCTGGACCTAAGACGCCCACATTCTTCCTTTATTCTGTCCTGGCCCCTTATGAGTGCCTCGGTTCACAGACACCCTTACCAAGGCTGTTCACCACACCCCTGCTGTTCTTTTCCTGATATTCCTTTGTTATCATCATTATTATGTTTTTTATTAGTATTGTCAGGTTACGGCTACATCTTTAAGATCTGACTTCTTTCTTTTTGTTTTTGATATGGTCTCATGATGTAGTCTTAGTAGACCTCCTAATGTAGAGCAGGCTAGCAGTGAACGCCTGCGTGCTGGAATCAATGGTATGTAACACCACATCCGGCTCAATTCATTTTCCCCCTTTGGATTTGCTATAAGCAGCCAGGAAGAACCAAGCCCCTTCTCTGACATTTTGCTTAGAAATCTCCTCAGTTAAATAACCAGCTGCTTCGCTGGCAGGTTCTCCCTTCCACAAAGCACTAACACGCAAAGACACTCAGTTTGGACGTCTGCTACTTTACGTGGATTCTCTCTCCATTGTCCAGCAACACTCCTCATTTCTCTGTGAGACCGTACCAGAACTTCCCTTCCAACCTATCGTAGGCTCCTCAAGACTTCTCCAGTCTGCACCCGGTAACTGGTTCCACAGCGTTAGATGTCTACGGCAGCAGCTGCCCACTTCTCCACCCGGTAACTGGTTCCACAGCGTTAGATGTCTACGGCAGCAGCTGCCCACTTCTCCATGCAACTTCTCTAGTTGCGGCTGTTGTAAGAGTCTGGACCGAATGATTGACACAAGAGGCACTTGTTTCCTCCCCTCAGTTTTGGAGGGTGAGAAGCACAAGATCCAGGGGATTTAACGCAGTCGTATTTTATCTAAAAACTATTTTGCCTTTACTCACTTGGGTGTATGTTATCCATGTGGGTGCACGTGTGTCATGGCATGTGTGGCCTTCACAGAGAGCAGTTCTCCCTTTTCACCTTGGGGGTCCTAGGGTCAAGCTCAGGTCGCCAAGACTTGTGAAGAGTGTCTTTACCTGCTGAGCATCTCACTGGTTTAGCAACACCTCCTCTTGGCTTACTAACCTGCTCCCTGTGTTCTGGCCAACAGAAGAGTTCTGATCTCTCATTGGTAAGAATGTGAACCTTACCACAGGAGTCCCAACCTCACGGCAAGGGCCCTGCCTCCAAACAACATCACATCAGAGCTTTCGACCAGCGGACTCAGGGGTGTGTTTTTAGTCCATAACAACACCATTTACAGAGAAAAAGCTCCCGAATACAGGCATTCTGTGTGTCTGGGGCATGTTTTTACACAGGCTTTGTGGATTTGAAGATTCATTCTCTCATTTTTAACAATGTTGTTTCTTCCTTTTTTCTTTTTTTTCATTTTTTTCTTTGTCTTTTTTTAAAAAATATTTTTATGGTTTATTTAATTTTATTTTATGTGCATTGGTGTGAAGGTGTCAGATCCCCTGCAACTGGATCTTCAGACAGTTGTGAGCTGCCATGTGGGTGCTGGGAATTGAACCCGGGTCCTCTGGAAGAGTAGTCAGTACCCTTAACCACTGAGCCATCTCTCCAGCCCCTCATTTTTTTTTTTCTTTTCGAGCAGTGTTAGGTGCCAAGCACAGGGCCTTGTTCACATTAGAAAAGAGCTTACCATTGATCTCTGTCCCAGCTCTGCACTGAAGGATGCAGGGAGCCGGTGAGAAGAGGGTAAGGTCATCCCACACCACTAGTGTCGGCTACAGCTCAGGCTTCCCCCAAAGAAAAGAGTAGGTCCTGGCTAATACTGAACAGACACTAGGGTAGGGACTGATCGGAACGGACAGTGCTGGCCCTCCTGACACTCACACCTGTGCAGGGCACAGCCACCAGGTGATGTAAGCATTCACCTGGTCTTCTGGCTTGCACGTCCGGAACATCCTGTGTCCCCTCTGTCACGCTGTCATGGTGGCTCCTACCCAGCTGCTAGGTTCAAGTTAAGAGTGAATTCCTTTGCATAGAGAGTTCTGGTTTCCCAAATCTGAGTTCGTAGTGTTCCAGGAAGGCAGCACCTACCTCCTCCAAAGGCCACTTCAAAGGCAAAGCTGTTAACCACAATGCTGCCTGTATCTACTGTGCCCTGCTTGCTTCCTGCAGGGAAAAGACAGATTCAGACGCTACCCCCTGAACATCTCAGGCATATGCACCGAGAGCAAGAATGGAGCCTGGAAGCATGTGCCTGAGGCTTGGAAAACAACGGGAAAGGTGGTTGTTAAGAGTCCCCTTTGCTGGACTTAAAAGCTGCTGTGTTCTGCTCCCTAGCTGCAGGAACAACAGCCTCATCCCATTCTCACTGGCTCTTGCAAATACCAGTGCTGTTCTCCAGGCAAAGAGGCTCAGTGTGAGCCCCAACTTCACTACACACTAGGTAGGCAGTCCCTTCCTGTGTTCAGTTTCAGCACGTGTAGAACACAGAGAAAAGTGGCTCTGATTTTATAAGTTTTTTTCTGAGGACTAAACCATTAGGAAGCTTGTACGGGATCTGTGAGCAAACGGGCTTGATAAGAGCCAGCTCTCCCTACTAGCTCTCTCAACTCCAGTGGCTCCACTCTGGCCCTCTCTAAACCTCTGTTGACTGATCTGAAAGATGGGAATGGTAATAATTACAGTCCTTGAACAAGAAAGTAAAAATGCAGTGTAATCAATCGGTCGTGTCTATAGATGATGATGGACGCGTGCAAAATTCTGACTCACCGGTGATTCCAGGGTTTCTAGCGCTGGCACCATCTCTGGGCTCACGCTCCAGTGAACCTCCGACCCCTTTTCCTGAGCCCCAGGCTCTCTGAAAGTTAAGGGAGGCGCATAGACCCAGGAAACTCATAGAGGGTGTCTAATACCAGGCTCTGGTGGTGAGCGAGCAGGCGACTTGGGGATTTGCAATCTGGTTATTTCCAGGAAGAAAATAGAAATTTCTGGCCAGGAGCAAATGAGTTATCTCCAGGCCGGCTTCCTGCTCTGATAACCGCAGCGACAGCGACAGCGGCAGCGGCCCAGGGCACCAAGGGAGCCTTAGCTCGGCCTAGGACTCTGCAGCCGCGCCCCGCCCGCCCGCCCGCCGGGAGGCGGCTAAGTAACCCTAGTACGCATCCCCTTGCTCTCCCGGCCATCACCAAAAGAATCGCCCCTTCCAGCGATGTTGTTCCCACTTGCCAAGTCGCTCCCACCTGCGAGGTACTTACTCTGCAGACAGCGGGCGGTGGCCACCCAGAGCGCGAGCAGCCCCAGCGGGATGCCGCGGGTCCTCCTCCCGCACCACGGCGGCCTCATGAACGGACAGCGGGCTGTACCGGCCCCGCATGGGCCTCCAGGAGGCGGCTGGGCCGACTGCTTGTCCTCGGCGCCCTGCAGTGCGCCAGCCTGACCTCCCTAGCCTCAGCTCCGCTGCTCGGCCCGTCCCAGCTCCTGCAGCTGCTCCAGCGCCAGAGGTAGATGACCAGGTTGTACTCTGGTTGAACCAGTTCCCCGGAGAGAGGGAAGAAAGGAGGAAGGGGAAAGGGAGAGAGAAGCGAGAGAAGGAAGGACTATGAATATGGAAAGATCTGGGATAATGGGAAGGCACGCACTCCGAGGCACTAATGGCAAATAATGAGCAACTTCCTGAGAGTCACACCCACTGTATCAATTCAAGGTTCAGTGCAGGAAGGTGGCTGGGAGAGAGCGCTAGTGCCGTCGCCCAAGGACAAAAGAGGCAATCTGAAGACTCCGTGGGCAAGGGGGAGATTTTTAGGAAAATCAAGTGACAGCCTGGGGTGTGAGGAAGGTGTGACAGCTGGGGAAACTCAGGCTGGCTCCGTGTGGAGCATAAGGACAGCAGTGCCAGTCATCCATGCAGCCATCCAGCCGGGAAAAGGTCGGAAAGCTGCTGACTGCGCCGGGTCCAGTACAGGCTGGCATTTTGGTCCCTCACAGGACAGTGGTGGAATGATGCCCAGCACTGAGCTACGCTAGGAAAACAACCACATTGATTTGAAAAGCCCGGAGAGGTGGCCCACACCTGTAACCCCAGCATTCCGGAAGCCGCAGGAGTAACTGGGTACTTTAGGAATCCAGGTCCTGGTGGGACCTGGAAACAATGACCACCTGTGATATAGTCTGCCTGGTCCTGGTAAAATGAAGAACGAAGGTGCTGCAGGGCCTCCAAGGGGATGTGCCGGTCTGTGAAGCTACAGGAGACGGGGAGATACTGACACAAGCTAGTTCTGGCTTTCTAATCCACTGGTCGGAACTAGATTTCCTCACTTCCCTTGCAGTCACGGGACAGCTGGATGAACAAGCATCAGTGATTCTGACAAGGGCAGTGTGCTTGGCTGTCTCTAGAAAAAGCTTTTGCTTTCCTGGTAGAAGGCATAGAAAAGGCTATGGGCTGAAGCATTCTTTTCTGAAAGGAGGAAGAGGCTCCCAAAGCACGAGCAACTTAGAAGATCCAGGGTGCCAGGGCAGGTACACGACTCTTGGATTATATAAGCAGTCATAATTTCCAGGGGAGAAAAGACTCTTCCGTGGAGCTACCAGGTAGTCGTGCAGGGAACTCCAGTGGTGCAGTTGAGGTGGGCTTTTCTGGAACCCATGCACCCGATCCTTGCTAATGGAAGCAATGTTAGTGAACTCCTTGGCTTGCCAACCAGGAATTGGAATCCTTTGTTTTTGATCTGTGGAGAACAGAAGTATTCTCTCCAGGAAAAGTCACACAGTTCCTGCCTTGAAAAACGTTCTTTTTCCCTAGATATATGGCCCCTGTCATACATCATGAAGGTTCAAGTGAGGACAAACCTCTCTAAGTAAGGATAGAGAAACAGAAACACAGGAGGTACCCAGAAGGCCCTGGCATGTAGCATGCCCTCCCAGGAGACCGTGGCATGTAGCTCGCCCTCCCTGGAGACCGTGACATGTAACTCGCCCTCCCTGGAGACCGTGACATGTAACTCGCCCTCCCTGGAGACCATGACATGTAGCTCGCCCTCCCTGGAGACCATGGCATGTAGCTTGCCCTCCCTGGAGACTGTGACATGTAGCTCGCCCTCGGGGCTCCTTGCTAATTCCATGGCAGTCCCTTTCCTCATTGCTGTGACAAAGGAACGCAATGGAGAAAAGGTTGAGTTGGCTCAGTTTCAGGGTACAGTCCTCTGTGGCGGGAAACCATGGTGACAGGAACCTGAGGAGGCCTCCGCACTGCTTCTGCAGTCAAGACACAGAGAGGGACAAATGTCATAGATCCGCTTGCTTTCCCCTTTGCATCCAGTTCAGGATCCTGGCCCTGGGATGGTGCCACTCAAAGTTAAGGCGGGACTTCCCACCCCCCAATAACTGAATCTGGACAATCTCTTACAGGTGTGCCAAGTGGCTCTGTCCTAGGCAATTCTAGAACCATACGTTGACAGTTTTAACCATCACACACACGTTCCTTGTGAGAGCAACAGGGGTGACATCCTGTGTGCTGTAGTCAGGAAGGGACACATCCCAGGCTAGCCACTCACAGTGAACTCTTCACCAGCCAAAGTGTTGGCTCGTGAATGGAAAGATGAGACCCCCAGGAACTCCCCTGGGAGTGACATGTGGCCATTGCTGGGACTGCTGAAGCACAGGACATGAACCTGTAGTATTAGCACACCACGTCCATCCCATGAGAGTCCTGGACTAGGAATGAAGCCAATCAGACACGAACCTGCAGTACTAGCACGCCATGTCCACCCCGTGAGAGTCCTGGACTAGGAAAGAAGCCAAGTCAGGCAAGGTGACTCACACTTATAATCTCAGTACTCAAGAAGCTGAGGCAAAAAGATTGCAAGTTTAAGGCCAGCTGTCCTACATAGCAAGATCCTCTTTCAAAAATAATAACTAAGTCATGGTGGTGCATGTTTTTAATCCCAGCACTTGGGAGGCAGAGGCAGGAGGATCTCTGAGTTCCTGGCCAGCCTGGTCTACAGGGCAAGTTTTAGCACAGCCAGGGCTACACAGAGAAACCCTGTTTTAAAAAAACCAAATTGAACCAAACCAAACAAAAATCATAGCTAAATAAAATGCTTTACAAGTGAAAAGCAGAAGCTAAGATGAAATAAACTGGGCTGGGAGCCTGGGAGACGTAGTTGCAGCGTGTGCTCTGAGTTTGACGCTTGGTTTTACCGGGTGGAGCAGGTAAATGCTTTTAGTTGGTGCTTTTGTTTTTGGTTTTCTGCTTGACAGGATTTTTGTGACATAAATCTATGTTGGTCGAAGTGTTTGACATTGCAGTGTGTTCAGGGGAATACGTTCAAGACATCTATCGTGCTGCATAGCACAGCAATGGTACTTAACGGTGCAACGTTGTGTGAATGAGTGCTGAGTGAGTGGATGAGTGGCCCCATAATGCAGTGGTGACCGTGTGCGGTGCATCATTTTAGATTTAACTAGCTCACAGTACATACACACTTTATTAATTAATTAATTAATTTATTATGTATACAGTATTCTGTCTGTGTCTATGCCTGCAGGCCAGAAGAGGGCACCAGACCCCCATTACAGATGGTTGTGAGCCACCATGTGGTTGCTGGGAATTGAACTCAGGACCTTTGGAAGAGTAGGCAATGCTCTTAACCTCTGAGCCATCTTTCCAGCCCTATATACACACTTTAAAACAGTAGATTGTGCAAATAACTACTATTTGTTAATTTAAAATAAAATAAAATGTGTGTGTGTGCGTGTACGCATGCACATGCATGCACCAGAAGTCAAGATCAATGATCTACATGGGAAGTAGAAAAAGACAAGATTTCTTGAGTAAATTGGGAGCATGGGGATTATGGGAGAGGGTATAAGGGGAGGGGAAGGAAGGGAGAAGAGTGGAGAAAAATATATAGCTCAATAAAAACAATTAAAAAAAAACAAAGTCAAGGTCAAGATCTCTGTGGTTCCTCTCTACCTTATTTGTTTGTTTCGAGACAAGGTTCCTCCAGAACTGAGAGTTCACTGATTCCGCAATATTGGGTGGCCAGAAATCCTCCTGTCTCTACTTCTTTGCTGCCAGAATTACTGCTCAGATTTTCTTTATGTGGGTGCTGGGGATCTGAATCCATGTCTTCCTGGATTTTACTGACCAAGTCACCTCCCGAGTTTTCCCAGTTTACAATCCCAGCTGATAGTCGGCAGCCGAAGTGTCTTCCTTGGGGCTGCGTTTGGAATGCTCATTCTCTGTCCAGTGGTGCTTTTTGGGTGTGCTCTGGGATCTCTAGGTGATGGACCCTAAAGTAGGTCCCTCGGGTCAGACATTTGGTAGTTGCCTCGTCCATTTTCCTACCTCATTCGACCTGATCTGCTGTGATGTGGACAGTGTTCCCCACACAGGCGAGAACGGAGCCCTGCCTTCCCCTCTTCGACAGACTGGAGCCTTCCCCACTGTGAGCCCAAATAAATCCTGGTCTACCAAGGTGTTTCTCTCAGACATGGCGCTCACACTGTATAAAATAAATGGCTATGCTCACAGTCAACAATCTCAGAACCAGAAAGAGCCGATCATCTTCGGTTTCGAATCTTATTAAAATTTGGATAAAGAGAGGGGCTAGAGGCGGGATCCAATGGGAGACCCTGGCTAACATCTTGAAGGTGAGCTTGATCTCAAGCACAGGAAATAAAACTGTTAGGAACAATTTTTTAAGAGTCTCCTGACTGAAACAAGGGGTTTTCTAAATGTTTGTCTTCCATATCCTTTGTATTTATTTGTTAGTTCATTAAACATTTACCCATAAGTCCCTGTATCTGGCACTATGGGCACTCCAAAGATGAATGACCCATGGATCTTAGTCCCAAGGGACTCACACACGGATGGAGGGTCAATGACCCAAATTACAGAGGCCCCTAGGCCCATAGTCCCTTTCTGTGAAGATAAAGGACAAAGGAATAACTTTGTTTCGCTTGCTGCCATTGACCTGGTTCCTGATATGTGGTAAACACTTAATGACTGTTTGTGAAATGACTGAATGAACCAGGAAGGCTGAAGCCCAAGAAGCCACAGAAGGAAGACTCTCGAGATTAGAAAGTTGGTAGGAAGAAGATGATTCAATGATGCTTGGGATTCCTCCTCTGACTGCCGCCCCTGTTTCTCTGGTCACAAAGCAGAGATGTGGACCCTCAATGGATTTAGACTGCATTTGGCGAGGGGTTAGGAACTGCACCGCAGGCCACACCACACTCCAGGCAGACGTCCCGGGAGTGGGGTTGCACTAGTTACTTGCCTTGTCCCTGAGACAAAACTCCTACCAAAGCAACCTAAGGAAGGAGAGGTCTCCTTGGCTAACACTTCAGGGGCATCATTCTACCATTGCGTGAACATGACTTAAAAATGGAAAACTCTGGGCTGTAGAGATGGCTCAGAGGTTAAGAGCATTGCCTGCTCTTCCAAAGGTCCTGAGTTCAATTCCCAGCAACCACATGGTGGCTCACAACCATCTGTAATGGGGGTCTGGTGCCCTCTTCTGGCCTGCAGGCATACACACAGACAGAATATTGTCTACATAATAAACAAACAAACAAACAAACAAATAAATATTTAAAAAAATGGCAAACTCCAAGAAACTAAGACAAGAGTCTTGTGAC